CTGATGTTGCTTTTTATATATCCTTAATGTATATAATTTTAATCCTATTTGCTGCTAGTGGAATGACAGTCCTACCACAGGGGAATCACAAATATGCTGTTAACAGTATTGTTTTAAAAGCCCGCACCTTAAATCTCACTTGAAGCTGAAACTCAACTCTTTTGGCCCAAAACTCACCAATTTGGCACCTGCTTCCTTGAGCCTGAAATAACTGACAGTCACAGTCACCTGCCTCTGTGCAGGCTGCTCCATTAAGGCACTCCTGTGGACATGAACCTGTAAGCAAGCATATCAGCCTCTTAGTAGATGCAATATTTTGCAAACAGGCTGAGAGATCCGCATTACATCTGTTTCTTGTTCAATTATAAGCAGCTATATTAGCTAAGAAAATTAACCAACAACAATCTCCAGTTTTTAACATCTACTTAAGTTTATCCTTTGTGTTCCTTGGTTAAAAGAGAAGCAAGGTTCTCTCCCGTTTGGTTTGAGACTTGCAAACTAACAAAGGAGCAAAAGGTCAACCTCCTCCCAGCAAACAAAAGGTCAAGTTCCCATGTAAGGAAACCAAATCCCAGTCCTGCTGATCTTGAAATACACAGGACACAGATTATTCTAATTGACTAAATTCAGCACAATTTATACATATGTTCAGCTCCTCCTTCCTAAGCATTACACCAAAAGGTATATTTAGCTTATGAACAGTCCAAATAATATAATTTACAAAGCCAAAACCAATTATAAAAACCTTCCCTTAAAAAAAAAAAAAAAAAAAAAAAGTCAGTTAAATGGTTATTTCTGCTTAAGAGGTGACTGTAGTCAGAGATTTAGGATTCCATGGGAATGGCTTGTTTTATGTTATAATTAGTAATTGTTTCCAAAAGCAGTTTCATTAAAGGATTTTATAGCCTGTTTGGAAGCTAAAACCTCACTGTCATCTAGTAATCATTTGCTGAGGTGGGTCTAAACCATAGTTCCCCAAAAAGTGAGGAAGAAAAGTAGTTCCAAAGCTAAGTTTAATCAGGTTTTGCAGATAGTTGCTTTCCTTCTTGGGGGAGCATTAAAACCCTAGATACAAATGCTCACAATCTTGCTGACAGAGATTAAATATGCACTGCAAAAAGCAAGACGTAAATGACACAAACAGGCCCTTCCATGCCATGGTAAAGCTGATAATGACATTAAATGGGAACAAAATGGGACCTTTACAACAAAGCACACAGAAGTTACCAATGACTAAGAACATCAGCTTTCACTGTGAAAACTCCTTTCCATGCTTAGTTTTGAATTTTTTCCGTGTAAGAATTGCTTTCCAAATATACACAGATACTCTGAAAATACCGACAAAGCAGAAAATGCTGTTTATAGAACAGCACTAATGTGGAAAACTTCTTTGTTGTTGTTAGAATTGTGAGTTGTAAAATTACATATATTTATTTACATGGGAAAACACAACAGAAAGCACCTACCAGACATATATATTTTCCAAGAAGGACACCAAAGTTCAGTTGGATACAATGTACTTTTCTGCAAAACAATTTCTGTAACTTGGACCTGCTTTATGTGTTAGTACAATGCCTAAAACCCTTCAGGAACAGCTGCGTGCTCATTCCCTGAACATCCCTGTCCTTTTTCATAACCAGTTATGTGCCTCTCAGACATGCTTACATCCTCTGCCAAAGCCAGGAAAAGGAGCAGAAAACAAAAATTGCAATAGAAATAAACTTATTTAAAAAAAAAAAAAAAAAGAAAGAAAGAAAAAGGGATTGGCTTAGCTGTCCCTGTTCAGATTTGGTGTAGAGGCATTATTTTGAAAGTACTATTTTAACAGGAATTGTTGTAGAATCATAGAATGGTTTGGGTTGGAAGGGACCTTAAAGATCATCCAGTTCCAGCCCCCTGCCACTAGGCCAGGTTGCTCAAAGCCCCGTCCAACCTGGCCTTGAAGGAGTGAGGAGCACAGCACTGACCTCCTGGAGGACTCCATGTCAAGGCCCCATGAAGGCGTGACCGAGGAGAGGAAGCTTGAATCTGTCAGAGAAACGTAAAAGCAAAATGAGAGCGTTAGTGCTTTCGAAATGAGCCCATACAAGCTTGAAGCCTTGCAGACTAAAATTGGGTTGGGATTTCTAATACAGGACAATAATTTGTGGCTCAGCCAGCACATTGTAGAGTCGTGGGTGCTGCAGGAGGGATTGGCAGCCTGGGTCAGTGTGAAAGGCAGTGACTGGAGCAACCAGCACCATGGGGAGGAGAAGCACGGAAGGATACAGGTGCTCTGTAGGGTCACCTCTGGCCTCTTCTCCTGCCCTCCAGTGCCAATGAACCAGTGAGACTTCACCTGAGAAGTTTTGCATTTAAATTTGGAAGGAAGAGTAACAGGACAGAGAGCACTCCTGCCCTTTACACTATGGTCAAGTACCATAGTACTTGAGGGCTCTAAGATGTGACATCCGTCCATTTCATCCTGTCTCCTAAATCTTGCTCTGTGCTGCACCCTGATCCTTCCATTGTGGCCACTTCAGCAGCAGTGGATTTCATGTCCTCCTTGAGATCCTTCAGAATTGCATTTTGGTTCACCCCAAACAAAAAAGGAGGTGGATCTGCCTGATCTGCTGCCTGTCTTGTTTAGGAACCGTGGAGCATTGGACCATAAGGAAGCCCTGGATCTGACCCAGCACGCTGCTACTGCAGCTTGTCATGATGCATCATCCCTCCCAGGAACTGATCCCATTCCAGGCTGAAAGCACTCTGGGATTTTTGCTCCCACTAGTCTGATTGGAAAGTTTACCAGGGTGAAGTGCTGGGTAGTAAAATATTTCCCTCTTACATATTTTCATAGCCAGTTTAAATCCTTTTGTTTTATAAGGCTTGGCTCTTTTGCTTAAATAGCTCTTCTTCCCTGTGGTTATTTGTTCCATCTCTGATGTTCTATTAGAAAATAGTTAACCCTCTGTGCTCCCACAGATGTATACACCAGCCTTCAGCTGCAAGAGTAAGCAAAACAAATTAAGTCTTTACTTGTAAGCTGATTTCTTTCTTCCCTCCTGCCACCAGCCATTCTCCATGTCTGGAGATTGAACTAATGGATCTCAAAGTGAACAGCACTGTACAAGGAACAGGTTAGATGAAGTGTCCCTAATGCCTTGCACAGTGACATAAAAACTTCCCTTTTCCAACTGGAAATACTTTGTAGGATGAATCCAAGTAGCACAATCCATCTAAAATCAACCTGAAATGGGCTTCATCGGATCACCACCTGCAAGGCCCCAGCACCAAAACTATTGCTGGTCTCCATGGTCTGCTGCTAGCCAGAGAGGATCCTTTTCCTTCCTGAACAACAAGACCCATGCCCATTTCCCCTCATAGTTACTCACAGCTGCCCTCACCAGAAAAGCAGTTTCTGGCCTTTACATTATTTCAGGGAGGTACAGTGCCCTTGCTGCGAAAGCACTTTCCTTCTGACACTCTCCTGAGACACTGTCAGTCCCAAGGGCCTATTTTCCTCAGGGGCTCGATTCACCTTAGCGCAGCATTTCACACCAGCTACCTTCTGACTTGGCCAGGAGGCAAATGGATCTCAAAAGGAGTGGAAGAAAATCATCTGTGGTTCAGCTGCAAGCTCCCCACAGGTCTGTGAGGAGCGATCAGCTTGGGCAACCCACCTGCCCTCATCAGACAGGGTTATAACTCGTTTGGGCTCTGTAGCCTGAGGTGTGTACCAGCAGGGGAACAAGACTCCCCTGTTGACTATTAAATTTCAGCACAGCATTGCTGAGGTGCAGTGTTGAGGCAGCAGTGGGCCAGGCTGGTAGGAAGCAGGGCCAGGCTGGAACCACCTCCGCACCACATGTGGGACAGATCCCTGCCCGTGGTGCCGCCATCATGGCTCCCACCAGACACTAACAGCTTTCCAGGGCATTCTGTTCACCCTCACAACAGACAAAGGAGTCGCAGGTGTATTTCCCATGGAGTGCGTCAGTCATCTCGTCAGAGTGGGTCACCCACCAGGCGCTTTGCTGAGAGTGGAAGGCATGAAGGCATGGGCTCAGGCGGGGGGACACAGGTGGGGAATAGCTGCTGCTCCTCGTCACTGTCCTCCTGTTACCGCTGCCCTTCTCCCCACAAAGGCTCCTTTGTAAGCACAGCAAAGGCCCAGAGCAGAAAAGCAGGGAGGGTTTTCCCTCCCTCCTGCTTTTGGAGGTATAACCTACCTCAGCTGTTACAAGATCTCTTTTCTGTCGAGTTGCATTAAAGTCATTTCTGGAAGAAAACAAAAAGGATCTTGTATAATCAAAGGTCCCTGGAGCAACCCGAATAAGCAGCTCCCCAGAGAGAAGTGTTTCTCTCTGATTACCATCGCTTTATCAAAGCAGTCTTTCTTGGCTTAACATTTTAAAAGGTGATTTTTTTCTTTCTTTTTTTTTTTTTGTGGTCTCATTTTACAGAATTGGGCAGCACTCCGGTGTCTGCTTGGACAGGGAGGTACCTGGAGCTTGTGGGGGAGATGTAAACCGGCAAAATAGGCTTACGTGACAGGATAGAAAACTGTAAAGCAGCTTCATATTTACTTGATGCTGTGTGTGAGTGGCTGTGAGTTCCCTCAAGTATTATTTGAATACACCATGATGGTACTTTCAATAGCAAGAGATGAATCTCCAGGTTTTATTGCCTTAAATTTCTGATAAAGATTAGAAACAAGGGCATCAAACTACTTAGTTTTATCAACAGCCCAAGATGGCATATCATCTGACGTGTGTTCACTAGATGTGTTAGACGTCATTAGACATCCAAAGCTACGTCTGGCTGGGTGCTTCCATTGAAATTGATGGCATAGTTCCCATTTAATTCAATGGGACCAGGAACATTCCCTACTTTGGGTTTTGTTTGGATTTTAGCTTCTACATGAAATTTTGTATTGAAAATGTTTATCATAAGGCTGTATAGCACTTACTTTTCTGTGCTTCTAATAGCAGCTAGGATTTTATCATGCAATTAAAACTGTTGAAGGACACTCATTTAATGTATTTTTCCAGTCATTAAATCATGATCTCATGCTGGTTTCATTCCATTATTCCTCAAAGCTTTCTCAACACCATAGAAGTATTGCTTTTCATAAGGACCTCCATTTTTCAAACAATTTTCAAACAAAGGACTCATGCCCTTCATGTGAAGTCTTCGAAGAGAGTTGTAAATATTCTGAAGGTATGTTTTACATCCAATGTACATGTACATGACATTTTACATGTCAAATTCAAGGCTATATTTTACTTTCTAATTTGCACTGTGTCACACTTTTTCATTCTTGTTCTGTTTGTAGGACTTAACAAATAAGGAAAAAAACTTACCTTGAATTTCTTCTCAAAAGAGAAAGCTTGCAATAAGATCCTGTAGATTAAAAAGTCACCAAGTTAAATATTTTTTCTACATTTTGTCAAGTTTAAAACAACTCTACTGAATTTTGTTCTTTAATGATCCTAAGTTTTCCAGAGCATCTTTACACAAACCTTTTCTGTTTACAAAGGATGTAGCACTACATGCTTTTCTTCCTGAGAATTTGACTTGCAAGTACTCACCACTTGCAAGTCTCTGTCATCTCGGTTCTGGTACTTGCTACCACGAAAAAGAGCAAAGATTTCATAGTTCTTCACAGGTTCAGAACAAAACTGATAAAACACAAGAGGTGCTCAGAGCTTTCCAGAATCAAGGCTGGATACCTATAGTTGTTTTCTGAATGTTACTTGTAAGAATCAATTGTAAATCATTTAAAATGCTCTAGAGTCCAGGCTTTTAAAAACCAAACAAACAATATTAAAAAAAACCTTTTTTTTCTCATCTTGCCTTAGAAATGTTTATCATTACTGCAAGAAAACTACCTACAAGATCCATTTGTATAGAAAATAGGATCATTTCTGTAACTAGAAATGAGATTATTTACCCTAACATTCTATATATGCTTAAACAAATGGCAGGTCCAGTCTGCGCAAACAAAATCACACCCCATTGAAAGTCATTAGATGCTTTAAAAAAATCTTAAATTTTGTTTCTAAATAATTGTTTTCTAACAAATTCAGACATAAAAATGTATGTCAAAAAAAAAGAGTTGTATTTTAGTTTTACACCTGTGAGAGAGAATGGTGATATACAGTATTTTAACCTGTGTTAAAAAACTTTTTTATTTATGAATTCCAGAAAGGGTCAAAAAAGTTGCTTTGTAATGATAGAAAAAGGAGCTGTAATATTAAAATATTTAGGAAAAAAAATCCTTGTAAAAATCAGTATTACTTAGAAAATTAAATAAATTCTTACCTTGCAAAGAGGACAGCAGTGAATGAAGCAAGAATATACTCCATGGTATCATTAAAGTGAGCTTTCCTGCAATGTCCATTTCAGTATACCTAAGTAATAAGGAATTTATCCAAATTAATGGTTTTGATTACGATGGCATCTTAGAACTAGGTATTTCTACACTGTGTTTAAATCCTTTAAAAGCTAGATAGTTGGGTGCATTATTTAAAATAATGCAATGCAAAAAAGGAAAAGAAAACGACACATCAAGCTTGGTAGCTACACACAGCTTCAGGAGCTTTTCAAGCGTTGCATACAACTTTCTGGCTGCATGTCTCTCATTAGTAATGCATAGTAACTCCTCAGCAGAGTCTGTATTAGTTACACTTTCACTAGACCTGCGAGTATTAGTCCTCTGTTGAATTGAATCGGCCCTTTATAACGAAGCAGACAATGACATAGAAATGTTGCCATGACATGATAGCTTGAGAGTTCCTTCAGTCGTCACACACCTTTGTGTGCTTTCAGGCTTGCACTGAGAGCTGCCCTTTACTGCTTATTACAGTGAAACATCTTTGCAACACCCTGCAATGATGCTACTCTATAAACTATAACTAGATGGTTTGAGAGATTAACATATTAATGTTCCTTATCTGTCCTAAAAGGGGAAACATGAACTTCCATTAAATAATACACCTGGATTTTTAAAAACATTTTAGATATGTTTTTGTGTGTAGTTTGCTTATATTTGCTTCTTTTTGGTTATATTACAAAAGAAGGCTTCCCAGAGGATAATTATATTTCATTTTTAATAAAGCATATTATGGAATTTTCATATTAGCAAAAATGAAAAAGAAGTCAACAGGGCCAATGGGGTTTTATATAAAACTAAAATTTCACCCAAATTAAAAATTATTATATTTTAAAATAGAAAAATCTTACCTCTTTTACCTTAATATTAACAGAATCCTTAAAAAATGTGCTTTTAAAGGTACATATAATGCTAATTGAAACTCCTACTACTCATATTATCTTGAGACTGGGATCACTGGCAGCCCAAGGGTACTTACTGCAAAATGACTTGTGTTATAACACTACACTGTATTTGGAGTATCTCTAAAGAATTAATTTATTACTGTTGGATCTGAGAAGCTGACATTCACATAATTCACATTTCAAGAGTTTTTTGCTTTGTTTTTACTTCTGACTAGCTATGAGCTAGTTCCATGGACTGGCTGCTTATCTGCAGCTGGACTGCATCTCACAGCTTAGTTTCATCTGCTCCATGTGGTCCAAAACTACTCTGGAGTGCCAGAGAAGGAAAAGAAGGAAATTCCTGATCCAAATTAACACACTGGTGTAGTTATACTCACAGACTGTGAACTATTACTTGGCATCTATCAACATTTCACCCTCTAATAAACCTACTCTTAGAGGATCAAGTTGAGATGAACCCAAGCACTAGAGCTTCCAAATTCCATTACCAGTTTCCATGCTATCTTGCTTTCAAGCTAAGTCTGGTTTAGAAACTGTTTCAGACTGTTCTGAGAAGCCTGATCTTGGATTCTTTCCTTCGTCAAGACTGTATTTCACACCGTGCTTCATATGCAGCTTCACAAATAAATCTTTCCATTAATATAAATGAAATCTTAGTTTAACAGAAATTATCAGAAAGTCTTTTTTATATATATTTTATATATATACA